TCAATGCACCAAAAGGGGCTCCTGCCTTGTACCAGGGATGGGGACCTGCACTGCCTCATGCAGCTGTGGGGTACCTTCAGCTCTCCAAACCCTTTGCACTGCTGTGTGCACTGAGGGCTCCTGCCTTGTGCAGGGATGGGAACCCATGCTGCCTCGTGCAGCTGTGGGGTCCCTTCAGCTCTCCCAGCCCCATGCACCACTCTTTACACCAAGGGCTCCTGCCTCATGCCAGGATGGGCACCTGCGCTGCCTTGTGCAGCTACAGGGTCCTTTCAGCTCTCTAGACACTTTGCACCTACCTATGCACCAACGCTGTGCCTTTCTTCACAGCAGGGGTGGGAGCAGCTGCTTGCTGTCTCCCACTCAGTGATGGCATCTTCAGGTGCTTTTGAGGCCACTGCTCTGCCCTTCTGGTCAGCTCCAGCAACTCTTCTCAAGCCCACCTTCATCATCCTTCATCGAAGCCACCCATGTGCTGGGCATGCATGCTTTTATTCCTTCTGGAGGTTCTGCCCCCAGATTGAAAATGAACCAATAGGAAAGCCTGAGGGGTTAGTTCCCCCTCAGGTCCTCTTCTTCACCTTGCTCCTGGGTTAGGGATGGCAAGCTTTATTCCTGCCTTTTCCTGATTGATGGGGAAGGGAAATGCCTCCACCAATCAGCCTCAGACATCCTACTCGTGCCATCAAGCCAGGCTGCTGGCCAGGCTGCTACAGTAGGTTCTAATATAGTAGGTTCTAAGTCAGGGGTGGGCAATTATTTTGGGCAGAGGGCCGCTTACTGAGTTTTGGCAAGCCATTGAGGGCCACATGACAAGCAGCCCAGGGCACAAAGATATTAATTTTCTAAATTTTTTAGGGGCCCCACAGGCCAGATAAAATGGCCTGGTGGGCTGCATCCAGCCTTTGGGCTGCATTTTGCCCACCTCTGTTCTAATGCATGTAATGTCATAGCCTTCTTTGCTCAAATGTTAGCTACATGACAGAAATATGAGGTGTACAAATGTAAACTATGAGATGCATCTTTAACCTGGGGCACAAAAGGAAAGTGAAACCTAAGAGGTTGGCTTTTCAGTCTCATATTATTCAGTCTTGCAATTCTAGGAGTCTGAGGGAGTTCCTGGTAAAAGGTCAGATTGTTATTTTAATCTGAACCAAAAAAACCCTGAGCGTTTTGGAGAAATTAGTAATTAGCCCATGACAAGTAACAGACACAGGCCAATCCATAAATTAGGTAGTATAGTCTGCAATTAACTGGCTAATTTCACAGTTACCTTGAGACCATCTACTCATGCCAAGCAGCTATCACATGATAAAAAGCTCCAACCAGCTATAAAGTTCGGCCTTGAAAATGTGTCCGAACATTATAGCTGGTTGCTATAGAGCTTTAATTTGCACATATAGCATGGTCTCCCTTGTGGCTAGGAGCCATTGCCTGACAGAGCTTCCAGCCACAAGGGTTCAGCCCCTGAGCCATGAGGATCATGGCAGTTATGGTCTCCAAAGCTCAGTGGTGTATTAAACCCTTGGACCCACACAGGGCACTTGGTCCCAGCTGCACCTTACCCACAGCCAGGACCCAGAGTCTAGCAGCTGACAGGGCTCTGGGTCCCAGCTCCATGTGAAGTGCAGCCAGGACTGAGAGACCCTGCAGCTAGCAGGGCTCTGGGTCCTGGCTCTGTGTGGTCCCCATAACTGGGAGCCTCCTCAGCAAAGGGGGCTCCCAGCTGTGGGTGCCTGCTTTTTGCAGATGCAGGAGGAGCCCAGGATCAGGCTCCCCCTACACTAGCAGTAAGGCACAATTGGATTTAATGTGCAATCCCACAATCGTGCCTCCTACCATATATGTATGCATGGCAGGAGGCGTGAATGTGGGATTGTGCATTAGATTCAATTGTGCCTTTACCTGCTTGTGTAAAGGGAGATGTGGTTTTTCTGCAGATGCATTCCTTTTACTGTAACTGAGCCAAAAAAAAATCAGCTCTGGTCTAGCTGAGCAATATTCCATTCACCATCTCTGGGTCTCTCTTATAACTGTGGGCAGAAATTGAACATCAATATTCAGCAATCTGAATTTATATTATAAGAACCCAGTTCTCCAAGCCCCCCCGCCCGCATAAGCCAGTGGGATTACTTCATGGATACAATTACTTACATGAATAGAGCTGGCCATATTGCATCCTCAGTTAGGTAAGTTCAAGTCTGTTAACTTTATTTAATCGTAAATGAGAGTAAAATTGATCCTAAAAAATTCTGTTCATTCAACAATTGGAAATGAAAGGCAAAAATAATAGCAGATGTTTTAGAAAGTATATGCTTTTAAACAGCAGGTTTTTAGGACTTTATAGGCATAAAATAAATTATGTAAGAGAACTCTTTTTGCTTTTATACTTCTATACACCCAAATAACTTCAGTTTGTAGTCATAAGCGAAGAATGCTTCTTCATTTCATGCAATACATTACAAAAGTGTTTGGTAGAAGGAGCCAGAAGGAGTGGAGGGGTGATGATGAAAATGTTAATGTAACAGATCCAATTTATCTGTAGCTGAATATCTGCCTGGTGGGCTAGCCTGTTTTGTTTACTTTTATTCTATCTGTCTCATCGCACACACGCGCAAACATACTCACACTAATTTGACATATGTGTTTCAGTTTTTCTAAATGAAGTAAGTGGCTTGATGAAAAATAATCATCCAGAGTGGGTAATGGTGAAACCCTTTAATCCACTGTTTAACTACACTTTTATTTTTTTCTGAGAGAGGAGAAAATGAGTCATCCTAACTAAGGCAGTGGCAGGATAAGTTAAATAAAAGCTGGCCTTGATATTTTAATATTAATTACCAAACATACCACTCTAGTCTTATGATCTGGCAATTCAATGTAATACACTTAACAACAACATTTCTGGGTACAAAACTTGTTTAAAAAAAAAAAGGATTGTGCAAATATTTAGGAGGGAATGTAGGCATTCTTGCTTGCAGTTGTTTTGTCAGGTCCCATTTTCAGTGAACTATGTACATGCCTGAAAATCTAGGTACATTTTATTTTAGTCACTCAGGGCTTGATCCAGATCCAGTTGAAATTAATGGCAAAATTCCCATTAACTGCTCTGGAGCAGGAGCAAGGCCTGAGTAGACATTTGGAGTGTTACAGTGCATATGTCTGTTTCCTTACTGCTTCCGTGTTATAATACTTGCTTTCCTGCCTCAGAAGGGTCCTGGGATGAATGATTAATATTCCTGATGTCAAGCATGATATCAGTTCTGTGCCTGGCTGTTCTTTATTGTTTCTTTTTCTCTGGCATGCGACAACCACGTTAGACTAAGATACTGTGTATCAGTTAAGGTAGGGGTGGGCAAAATACGGCCCATGGGCTGGATCTGGCCCATGGAGGGGCTTTGTCCAGCCCCATGGTGGACCCCTCTGTCCCACCTGATTCAGGCACTGTCTTGCCCTGACTCATTCTGCCGCCCCGAGCATGCAGCAGTGCTGGGGCAGCTGTGTGGCTGGGCTGCCTTCCTAGGCAGTGGCAGTTTCTTCCGTCTGCTGTCACCACTAGCCCCAGCCCTGTGGTACCAGTGAGAAGCCACGCTATACACCTCTATATACACAACACAAATGCATGCAAATCAGGACAAAAATATATTTGTAAATAAAATTAAAATAGTTTATTGTAGCTGTTTGATTTTTAGTATATAATTAGGGTTGGTTTTTTCCAGTTCCAAGATGGGAAACTCCCTCCCAAATGGAGTGCTTCCAGGGTGAGGGGAGGGATTCTGGTGGCACAGGTCAGGGGCTAGGGCATGGGACTTCCAGTCCCCAGATGGCGGCAAAGGGGCAGGGCAACTGTCAAGGGGCAGGGTTACGCTTGTGGCCCTCAATAGCTCATCAAAACTCGTTAAGTGGCCCTCCACCCAAAAGAATTGCCCATTCCTGAGTTAAGGCCTTGGATACACATGAACCTGCACTGGTTTCCTTCAATAGTAGGATTCATATACATACATACAGATCCTTTCAATCATAATTGCCTGCACACATGTATACCCCTCTTCTGCTGATGATAAGATGATATGTCCTGAAAGTTAAATGGATTCTAAAGCATATACCAGTGAAAGTCTACATATAGTGCCTCACTTATTTTCAAAGAGCAACATCAAAACAGATAATTATAGTAAGATATAATTGTCCTTCTGTAGTCTGATCAGGTACATTTTCTTCATTAAAATTATCATTTTAACTGAAAACATACCTGTTAGAATGGGTATATTGATGGTAAATTTTTAAGTTAAATTTAGCCAAAATGGCTTTCAGCTCTCTCCTGTTTTTCTGTTGGTCAAAGAAAATGAAACTATGTAAGATTGTTCTTCAATATTTCTCAGGAAAAAAGGCGTATATTTACCATGTTTTGTTTTGATTTGTTAACATTCAACTTCAATAAATAATGAAGGGAAAAGGAAAATAACAGGCAAAGGACTAAATTCACTTCTAAATTCATATAACCCTGTTTTCTTAAATAAGATTTTATTATTTGATTTGTGATAGTGCTTAAAGTACCCAGGCTTGTTGTGTTGGGCATTACACAAATAGCAGAGTGGCCTTTGCCCTCAGGAGTTTACAACCTAAGTATAGGAACACGGGTACAACAAAAAGGGGCTGGGGAGCATTATGTGAGTCAATGAAATGTGTCAACTTGAGTGGGTGTGCACATTCTTTAAGGAGATCCCATCAATATCTACTTACTGCTATCTTTCACAGTTTGTCTCTGGTTCAAGCAGGAAGTCCCAAATGTACCCAGGGCTTAGACGATAAGGGCTTTAAAATAGAACCGCTAGATATAAACCAATTTAGCCATATGTAATACAGAACACAAAGTAAGCCATTAGTCAAGCAGTCTAATCTCAATAGACAAAGTAAATATCAGCCCTCACTAAGAACATAATGTATGTTAAGTATCAAAGATTTACAGGATTATTAAGAAAATTATCTTTGTATTTTTACAGCATGCAAGATCTTGAACTACAGAAGATATTCTTGGAAAAATCAAATGAAACCAATGACCAGTCAGGGCGAAGTACAGCAGAAGCTGAAAATCAAACCATCACTCTGAATGTGATAAACAAGAATAATTTATTTTCACCATCTTTACAAACCACTTATTGCAAAGGCCAAGACAAGGTTTGTTTAAACAATATAACCTTGGAAAATGAAGAGAACTTCTCTGTGCGCCAAAACTTAACTCAAACAGAAGACAAAGGACCAAATCAAATGGCAATGTTGTTTCAGACCAGGCAACATGTTTTGGAAGGAAAAGCTAAACCAATAGATGAAAACATGGGGGCTGTGTTAGAAGTCACAAAGTCTTTGACAAAAGACAAAAGGAACACTGTGGCTTTGGTTGAGCAAGTTGATCCTGAGAGGAATAAACCTACAGGTATGCCTGAAAGTAGAACTCAATCAGAAGAAAATATAAGACCACATTCACCCGAGTCTGTCTGGATTATTAATAAACTGAAAGAATCTGCTCTTGAGGTTCTGAGGGTGCTCAGTGATAATGCCCTGGACATTGAAGTGATACTTCTACATGTTGTACAGATGAATCGAGCAGTTCAGCTTTGGTTTGATGAGGCTCAAAGAAGTACAGCTCCTCTGCATTCTCCAAAGGAAGCAACAGACTTCTTCAAAATGGGAAAAGGAAGACCAACTGTAAAACAGGTACAGCACATAACCTGGAAGTCTGTAACCAAACTTCCTTGAACCATTTTAAACTTACTTTCATTTAAAATATTAAATGAACCCGGTCATAACGTTGAAAAGTCTTTACAAATAAGTGTAACTGTAATCTATGTCTATCTGGGCACATCTACACATGGAATTAGTGTGCAGCAATAAACTGGTGCACATCATGCCAGAGTTTATTGCTCCTGGGTTCCACGTTTGAATGTGCACCCAGGACTGCAGCACACTGAGCCAGGTCAGAACAGCCCCAACTAGCAAGGGATTTGGGCGGTCAACCTGCTGGCCCAGGGCAGCTTCAACCCAGCCCAATGTGCTTTGGAGGTACTGGCTGGGACAAGAGGGTACTTAGGTGCAGGGCTAGCCAGCAGGCACCCATGCTGAAACACACTCATGCCCCAGCCAGCCCTGTGAGCATCTACATGTGCAGTGCTGCAGAATAAAAAAAACTCTGCAGTAGGATAGCACTTGTATTTAAAAGTATTAACCTATTGTGGAGTTAATTACTTTATTCAGTCCTAATTGCATTACATGTGTAGATGCTGAAATGTTTAATCTGGAGATAACTGGGGAACTCTGCAGTAAATTTTTTGTGTAGATGCTCTCTTTGATGACCTTTTCTTTACAATAGTTTGGTTGTTCCAAATTTGAACTTAGGCTTTTTCAAGCTGGAGAATAACACCCTGCATATCCCCATAACTGTTATTTCGTACACCTTTAGGATATATTTTGTCTTTAACTGTTCAGTGACAGGGCTACTACTGAAGGCACTTGGAGTTCAGTATATATACATCTGTATTTGGTATACAACATTGCTTTTTTTTTCCCGACATATGATTGTGTTTTCCTTAGAGTCGGTTGTAAAATTCTCATTGACTTAAGTGGGACTGGGATTGGTCCTTGAGTAGCAAAATCCCAGTGTCTTATTTTGCCTTTTTTATTGAATATGGAATAGAATAAATACTACATGACTTGAATGACTAATTACATAGCTCAAACATCAAATTATAAGTACATCATGTTCACAGTAATATCTGCAAGAAATTATTCAGGAATAAGAAATAGAATGAAATGTTTTCAAACAGAATGATCATCAAAGATATGTAAATAAGGAAATCTTTGGACATTTAGATGGCATTATGTACAGTCTTCAAACAGAAGAAAAACATTTACTCACTGTGATTACTTCTTCCAGCCCCAATGAAAAAATAACATGATACTTCTAATTATACAGTCTAAGTTTCATATAAAACATTTAAAAATAAAGTTCCATAGCTATACAAGCCACTAAATTTACAGGGATTCCCCTTGGAAGAAATCCAACATGTCTGTAAGCATGGGAAATTGTTCTTGTCATTAATAATAATTATATTTTAAAAAGTTAGAAAAATGTAAAGGTTGCAAAGTCAAGCACTCAAAGGTTAGGAAATCTTATATAAAAAATCTTGTGTTCACTTAAAAGGGTTTGCCAGTGTAGCTTTTTCAGACGTGGCCTCATCTGCAATATAGATGTAGTTTAATACCAGCAAGAGAGCTTTTTTTTTTAATGTCAACAGGCTCAGGTACATGTATATTTAGTGCACATGAATAAACTTGGACACTGTTCACGCCGGAGTCAGCTGCTCTCAGGTGTAGCATCTGCACGTGTAGACACTGCCCCCAGGATGGCAGCAGCTTGAACCAGAGGGCGGTCTTGGGGGGTCAACCCTAGGCTTCTGGTGCTGACATCTGGTGGCAGGGGGGCTGCATGGGGCATGAGGGTGCTAAAGTGTGAGGCTGCGCAGCAAGCAGCCCCCACACTTTTCTACCCTTGTGCCCTAGCCAGCCCTGGTCACCATCTACACATGTGCTTCAGCACAGTAAGTAACTGCATCCTAAAATAGTACTGTTCCTGGCTGTACTATCTTTCAGCTCAATTAATTAATCTACTGTGCCCTTCACAAACAGGGAAGGATTGGTGAGGAATGTAGCAGTGTATGGCAACTTGGGCACCAGTGACCATGAGATGATTGAGTTCAGGATCCTGAGGAAAGAAAGGAAGGCGAGCAGCAGAATAAGGAGCCTGGACATCAGAAAAGCAGACTTTGACTCGCTTAGGGAGCTCATAGGCAGGATCCCCTGGGATTCCCATCTGAGGGAGAGAGGAGTCCAGGACAGCTGGGTATACTTTAAAGAAGCCTTACTGAGAGTGTAGGAACAAACCATCCTGATGCACAGGAAGACTAGCAAGTACAGCAGAAGACCAGCTTGGCTTAGCAAGGAAATCTTCAGTAAATTAAATCACAGAAAGGAAGCTTATAAAAAGTGGCAATTTGGACAAATAAATAGGGCAGAGTATAAGGGCGTTTCTTAGGCATACAGTGATTAAGTCAGGAAGGCCAAAGCACAATTGGAGTTGTAACTAGCGAGGGATATGAAGGGTAACAAGAAGGGTTTCTACAAGTGTGTTGGTAGCAAGAGGAGAATCAGGAAAAGTGTAGGTCCTTACTGAATGGGAGAGGCAACCTTGTGACAGGATGCAGAAAAAGGCTGAAGTGCTCAATGCCTTCTATGCCTCAATCTTCACAGGCAAGGTCAGCTCCCAGACTACTGCACCAGGCAGCACAGTTTGGGGGGGAGATGAGCAGCCAACAGTGGCAAAAGAACCAGTTAGGAACTATTTAGAAAATCTGGATGTATACAAGTCCATGGGGCTGGATGGTATTCACCTGAGGGTGCTGAGGAAGTTGGCTGATGTGATTGCAGAGTCACTGGCCGTCATCTGAAAACTCATGGTGATCAGAAGAGGTCCTGGGTGATTGGAAAAGAGCAAATATAATACCCATATTTAAGGAAGGGAAAAAAGAGGATGCAAGGAACTACAGACCAGTCAGCCTCACCTCAGTCCCTAGAAAAATCATGGAGCAGATCCTCAATGAATCCATTTCTAAGCACTTGGAGAAGGTGATTAGGAATGGTCAACATTGATTCACCAAAGGCAAGTCGTGTGTAACCAACCTAATTGCTTGCTATGATGAGGTGGCTGGCTCTGCTGATGTGGGTAGGCTGGTGTATGTGGTATACCTTGATTTTAGGAAGGCTTTTGTTACGATCTCCCATAACATTCTCACAGGCAAACTAAGGAAGTATGGGCTGGATGAATGGACTGTAAGATGGATAGAAAACTGGCTGAAGCATCCGGCTCATAGAGTAGTAGGGAATGGCTCAATGCCTGGTTGGCAGCCAGTATCAAGTGGAGTGCCCCATGGGGTCAGTTCTGGGGCCGGTTTTGTTCAATGTTTTCATCAACAACCTAGAAGATGGCATAGAGTGCACCCTCAGCAAGTTTTGCCGATGACACCAAGCTGGGGAGAGTAGTAGATACGCTGGAGGGTAGGCTTAGGATTCAGAGTGGCTTAGACAAATTGGAGGATTGGGCGTAAAGAAATCTCATGAAGTTCAACAAGGACAAGTGCAAAGTCCTGCACTTAGGACAGAACAATCCCATGCACCAGTACAGGCTGGGGGCTGACTGGCTGGGCAGCAGCTCTGCAGAAAAGGACCTGGAGTCTACAGTGGACAATAAGCTGAATATGAGCTAGCAGTGTGTCCTTGTTGCAAAGAAGGCTAGTGGCGTACTGGGCTGCATTGGTAGGAGTGTTGATGGCAGGCCAAGGGAAGTGATTATTCCTCTCTATTCAGCACTGGTGAGGCCACATCTGGAGTGCTGTGTTCAGTTTTAGGCCTCCCAATACAGAAAGGATGTGGACAAATTGGAGAGAGTCCAGCAGAGAGCAACGAAAATGGTGAGGGAGCTGGGGGACATGACTTATGAGGAACGCCTTCAGGAACTGGGCTCATTTAATCTAGAGGAGAGAAGTCTGAAGGGGGATTTAATAGCAGCTTTCAACTGCCTGAAGTGGGGTTTGAAAGAGGATGGAGCTAGACTATTCTCAGTGGTGGCAGATGACAGAACAATGAGCAACTGTCTCAAGTTGCAATGAGGGAAGTTTAGGTTGGATATTAAGCAGAATTTTCTCTTAGGAGGGTAGTAAAGTACTGGAACAGGTTACCCAGAGAGGTTGTGGAATCTCCATCCATGGAGGTTTTTTAAGACCTGCCTAGGCAAAGCTTTGGCTGGGTTGATCTCACTGGGGATTCTCCTGCCTTGAGCAGGAGGTAGGACTAGATGACCTCCTGAGGTCCCTTCCAACTCTAATTTTCTAGGATTCTATGATAACACCAGTGCTTGTTTGGATGGTGGTGCTTTACTGCGGAACTAATTAGACAACTCCACAATAAAGTGCTTTGAGTAGGCGCACCCAGCATTGCTTAAACCACTTGTCTAAGTGGAATAAACTATACAAAACAAAGGACACTTTCTCCCATTTCTTGCTGCTGACATTACCAAATCTACACATGGGTTTCTGTTAGTATAATTAAGCCAGAAAAGACTTGTTTAAGTGTAGAACAGCCTTTAAGGTTCTCAATCAAACTTTATTTCTCAGCCTCTGTATATTATAGTGCAGTCTTTAGTTGCATAGGTTTTTGATTTAAACTTTTTTCCACAACACAAGGAAGTGCCTTAATGAGACCATTGGCTAGGCAGGGTGAAAGCATTCTCTGCCCCTCTAGCTGAAGTAGACTCACTTGGCCACAAAGAATAAAAAACATGTGAGCCCAGAAGAAGGACAGGCCAGAAGAAGCCTTGCTCTGTGGCTTAATGAGATGTGCACTGTCCCAAAATGAGGAACCCGGAAAAAATAGAATAAGAATAGGCCCTGAATATAGTAAAGCTTCTACTTCTAAAAAATCCTTTGATCTGGTGTCCCATCAGCTCCTCATGGAAAAATTGGCCAATTGCAGCCTCGGCTACATCACAGTCCAACGACTGGAGAATTGGCTCGGAAGTCGGCCCCAGAGAGTGGTAGTCAACGGAAGTGAATCATCATGGTGCTCCGTGAGCAGTAGTGCTCACCAAGGCTCTGTCCTTGGATGTG